ACATGCCCGGCTTTTGGGGATTTCCCCCCGGACGGGGATTTGAGCCCCCAAAAGCCGGACATGTCCGGGAAAATCCGGACGTATGGTAACCCTACCTTAATCTTTTCCAGGCTGCTGCTTCACCTTGTTAAAAGAGGGCATGAAAGACTTGGCACAGGCACTGCAGAAGGCTTCCATAAGTGGCCATATGCTGCTTCTCTGTCCCCAAGTCTTGGCTTTGGGGGATGCTGAGGGAAGGCCTGGGGACAGGAGAGGGCATTCTGGGAGAGTCACATGCATATTTTTCTGCATTTTTGTAGCATGAGTGGTGGCCCAATAGAGGTCTTCATGTCTGGACTGGAAAAGAGAAGGTTACTCACCCTGTGCAGTAACTGAGGTTCTTCGAGATGTGTGTCCCTATGTGTGCTCCACTGTAGGTGCGGTAGCGCCCCTGCACCTGGGATCGGAGTCTTAAGTGCCTGGAACTGCTCCTTTTTGTCATCTGGGAGGTGTTGACAGAATTCCTGGAATTTGGAATAGTTTTTGATTATATTCGGCTATAAGTGCCTCATAGTTAGCGATATGGAACTGGAGTGTAGCTGAAGAATATGTTTTACAGTAACCCCTCACTTAAAGTTGTCCCAGTTAATGTTGTTTTGTTGTTACGTTGGTGATCAATTAGAGAACATGATCGTTTAAAGTTGCGCAATGCTCCCTTATAACGTTGTTTGGCAGCTGCCTGCTTTGTCCACTGCTTGCAGAAAGAGCAGCCCATTGGAACTAGCTGGTGGGGGCTTGGAACCAGGGTGGACCGGCAGCCCCCCTATCAGCTCCCCGCTCCCCTAAGTTCCCTGTGCAGCAGCTGCCCAGCAGGCTGTCAATTGACGGCAGTTCTGCTGTCCCTCCCCCCACTGCTATGTGCTGCTCCTGCCCTCTGCCTTGGAGCTGCTCCCGGGAGCCTCCTGCTTGCTGTGCGGGTGGGGGAAGAGGGGGGCTAATGTCAGGGGGCCCCCCTGCTCCTGCCCCCCACTTACCCCATCTCCATAGACGCGGGGGGGAGGGAGGGGGGACACGACAGGGCTCAGGAAG